AGTTCTTGGGATTTATAGTTCACCTACAATCAAAAAGCATTCTGAACTCCACCAATGATGGAATTGAACCAAAGGTAACACACAGTACTCCCATGACCAACAGAAAACACTAGAAGGGTTTGGTGGGCATTGACCTTGAGTTTGGGAGTTGTAGTTCACCTACATCCAGAGACCACTATGGACTCAAACAATGATGCATCCGGACCAAACTTGGCACAAATATTCCATATGTCCAAATTTGAACACAGATGGAGTTTACGGGAAATAGACCTTGACATTTGGGAGTTGTAGTTACTGGGATTTATAGTTCCCCACAAATGAACCCCACAAATGACAGAATTGGGGCAAGTTTCCCTCACAGAACCCCCATGACCAACAGAAAATACTTAATGCTATCCTGTCCAACTCTCTTCACCAGGTCAAGAAAACGTAATCAAAGCCCTCCTGACAAAGAGCCATCCAGCCACAGATATAGATATAAATGATTCACACACAGAGAGATATAATATCATAGATTTGAAAGGGACCCCTAAAGAAGGACAATGATATGTTGCATGTTCCAGAGTAGGCAAACCAGACACTCTCCGTCCACATCAACACTGACAAAGAAACAACAAGAAATACTGTTTACCCACAAGCAGAAAGAAATTACATAGATTGGAAACCATTACTTTATTTTCCAGATCACCAGACTGGGCCACAGCAATGCGTGTCAGGGGATGGCTAATAATAATAATAATAATAATAATAATACACTTTGTTTATATTCCTCTCTATCTGTATTAAGGGGACTCAGAGCGGATTACAGTATACACATATACAGGCGAACATTACATACCTTTTTAGACAGTGAATAATGACACAAACAAAAGCAAATGTTTCCTTTTCCATCTCTGGCATCTGGAGGCGAGGCTCAACTCTGGCCATGGAGAGATGCCCTTGTTCCATTTTCCATGCCAAGGAGCCTATTGTCCATAGACTCTTCTGGTTGCATTTTGCTGGCATGACTGCATGGGTGCCTTTTACCTTCCTCACCAAGATGGTATATAGAGATCTACTTACATTACATGTTTTCTAACTGCTAGGTTGGCAGGAGCTAGGGCTAACAGAAGGAGCTCACCCCGATCCGTGGCTCTGAACTGCTAACCTTCCAGTCAGCAAGTTTTTTTGCAGCTAACAGTTTAACCCGCTGTGCTACCACGATCTATACTACACAGAAGGAAGGAAGGAAGGAAGGAAGGAAGGAAGGAAGGAAGGAAGGAAGGAAGGAAGGAAGGAAGGAAGGCAGGAAGGCAGGCAGGCAGGAAGGAAAGAAGGAAAGAAAGAAAGAAAGAAGGAAAGAAGTAAAGAAGGAAAGAAGGAAAGAAGGAAAGAAGGAAAGGAAGATAGGTTCAGGAATGCAGTTACAAAGCTGTGTGGAAATATGATTTGCAAGACTACATAATGGTGAACTGGTGTAATTGTGCTGTTTAAGAGAGACGTGGTACCCACTTTGCATCTGATGAGGAAATATTGGAAAAATAGATATTTATTTATGTATAAATTGTATGTACATTACAAGCATTGAAATGTAAGAAAAAATCAAGTTATCTCTGTATCAGAAAGAATGCTGACAGGACAAACAAGCTATGTCCAGGCACAGCAAGAGGGAGGGAAACATTCCAGGAGAGAGATATGCCCATCCTAGTAGCAACAGAGACTGGTACCGAGCCAAGGCTATGGCTAAAAAAGGAGCCTATATCTCCCTCATGACAGGTCAAAGTAGGCCCCTTGATTGATGAATGTAAGCTGTAAGCTGTATGCTGCTCCTAGAAAAGAAATACACAAAGACATGCCTTTTGTATGTTGGAAGAAAGAATTTGATATTTCTGTGATGCTAAAGTGATGCAGAGAATGATGTCAATGTATGTAGAAGAATGTTCTTTGTTTGCCTGCAATTGGAGGGTATAAAAGCCATAGTCAACGCCTTGATCGGGGCTCTGGTGCTTTTGGACACAACTCCTCACCAGAGTCCCAGCTGGAAATAAAACCCGTGCTTTTGAGACCTCTGGAACTCTCTTTGTCTCTTTTCCTCAAACCTTCTCCCTGCCATTTCAATACAATGTTAATAACATGGCTGTAGCAATGCGATTTTTAAAAAAATATATGATATAGCCCTGCTCAGCCATGGGAAAGCACCAGATAACTTTGTGCAAGTCACTCTTCTCAGCTTTAGAGGAAAGCAATGACAATGCACCTCTGGATGAAATCTGCCAGGAAAACCCTCTTATAGGGTTTGTCATAAATCAGAACTGGTTTGAAGGCACATAACAACAAAACTCAAAAAAAGATATAGTACTGTTCGAGTGGCTCATACTTAGCCACAAGATGGCAGTGGTATTTGTGCAGTGGATTGGTATTCTTGAATGTTTCTATTCCAAAATAACTATGGCAATTTCCTTTTACAGTGACTGGCAGGAGCAAAATAAATGTTTGCAAAAGATTACAGGAAAAATCTTCATTCATGTGGCTTTTGAATCTGACTAATCATACTGCCTACTTTTTGAGGTTTAAAATAGGGATTGTGATGGCTGGAATTTGTCATTGTGTGCATTCAAGTGGCAGGCAGTAATTGCTGCTCAATAGTTAGCCATAGGAAATTCCAAAGTAGTTTGCAGTATACACACACAGAGAGAGAGACAAGGACTGCGGTGGTGCAATGGGTTAAACTGCTGAGCTGCTGAACTTGCTGATCAGAAAGTTGGTGGTTCGAATTGGGATGGGTCAGCTCCCACTGTTAGCCCCAGCTTCTGCCAACCTAGCAGTTCGAAAACATGCAAAAGTGAGTAGATCAATAGGCAGGAAGGTAAATGACACTCCATGCAGTCATGCCGGCCACATGACCTAGGAGGTGTAAATGGACAACACAGGCTCTTTGGCTTAGAAATGGAGATGGGTACCACCCCTCAGAACCAGATGGGGAAAGCTTTACCTTTATCTGTGTTTCATTGTTTCTAGGCATTGAATGTTGTCCTTTGTGTTTGTGTATGATGGAATCCACCCTGAGTCCCCTCGGGGAGATAGGGCGGAATACAAATAAAGGTCAGATCTGGTTAGTACTTGGATGGGAGGCCGCCAACAAATATGCTATAGGGCATATTTAAAAGGAAAGTAATGGAAATACCACCTCTTAGTATTCTGCTGCACATGCATTTGTTGGTCTTCGATGGTGCTTAACGATTCATCTGTGCCTTCCATGTGCCACTTGTTTCCGAGGTCGGAGAAACAGCAGACACTTTCACAGTCATTTGTACTGTGTCAGAATGCAGCAGAACAGTGGTGTAGTGCAACTATGAGTTAACAACAATATATATACCTCGTATGTATATAGTCACTGCCTCAGGTGATCAGCCATCCCTGGCTACTGCTACTACCATTTTCTCATTTAGAAAGGTCGGAAGTGGCACTGCTGTGCACAGAGTACGTGGGGCTCAGTTCTTTTTTTTTTTTTTTCTGGAATGGACTACGCTCTTACCTTGGTGTGTGATTGCTCATGTCATAGTATTGAGGATTTCTATGACAGGAAGAGAATCTGGTTTGCTGTGAGTTTTCTGGGCTGTATGGTCATGCTCCAGAAGCATTCTCTCCTGATCTTTTGCCCACATCTATGGTAGGCATCCTCAGAATTTGTGGGGTGTGTTGGAAACTAGGCAAGTGGGGTTTATATATCTGGAATGTCCGAGGTGGGAGAAAGAACTCTTGTCTGTTTGAGGCAAGTGTGGATGTTGCAATTGGTCATAGATGTGGGTGAAATGTCAGGAAATAATGCTTCTGCAACAGGGCCATACAACCCGTAAAACTCATAGCAACCCAGTGATTCTGGCCATGAAAGTCTTTGACAACACAGGAAGAGAATCAATTAATTTGAAATGTGGTGCTGGAGAAGAGTTCTGAAAATGCCATAGGTTGCCAAATTTATTTGTTGTGTCAGGGCAGCCAGTCAATTATATTACATTTCTAACAGAACAAAGCAAACAGACAAAATTTGTGAGTTTGGTAGTTGATTAAATGTCCTTTGACCAGTATCTGGCCACTTGGAGTGCTTCTGGTGTTGCTGCAAGAAGGTCCTCCATTGTGCATGTAGGAGGGCTCAGGTTGCATTGCAGCAGGTGGTCAGTGGTTTGCTCTTCTCCACACTCGCATGTTGGATTCCACTTTGTGGCCCCATTTCTTGAGGTTGGCTCTGCATCTCGTGGTGCCAGAGCGCAGTCTGTTCAGGGCCTTCCAAGTTGCCCAGTCTTCTGTGTGCCCAGGAGGGAGTCTCTCATTTGGTATCAGCCATTGGGTGAGGTTCTGGGTTTGAGCCTGCCACTTTTGGACTCTCGCTTGCTGAGGTGTTCCAGCGAGTGTCTCTGTAGATCTTAGAAAACTATTTCTTGATTTAAGTCATTGACATGCTGGCTGATACCCAAACAAGGGATGAGCTGGAGATGTCACTGCCTTGGGTCCTTTCACTATTGGCTGCTACTTCCTGGCAGATGTCAGGTGGTGCAATACTGGCTAGACAGTGTAATTTCTCCAGTGGTGTAGGGCGCAGACACCCCGTGATAATGCGGCATGTCTCATTAAGAGCCACATCCACTGTTTTAGTGTGGTGAGATGTGTTCCACACTGGGCATGCGTACTCAGCAGCAGAGTAGCACAGCGCAAGGGCAGATGTCTTCACTGTGCCTGACACGACAAATAAGCTGTTGAAAGGAGATTTTCCACATGGACACCAAAAGGCCATTTATTTCTCTCTAAAAGGGCATTGTGTGAGTCAATGCAACTGATCTCATGATTGTAAATATGCTGTTCTGCTTTACAAAGAGTAAACTACTTGTTCTTTACTGATCATCTGCATAGCATATTTTCTTTCTCTAGCAAGACAGTGTGTGGGCTGATAAAACGTGAACCGCGCATGACTTACATTATGTCAACAGGGTTGCCGTAAATCAATAATTTTTCAGATGCAAAATAAATTGGAATTAAAATGAGTATTTATTGTTCTTGGACACTTATTATTGGGTGCCTTGATTATGTGATAGTTACTATTAAATCCCACCCTGAAATGTCCGATTGGAAGATCACTTGCATGAAACTGCACAGACAAAACATTCCAAGAAATATGGCTTTTACTTTCAGAGTAGAATTAAATTGAAAACACATAACTTTTCTTCATTTTTCTACAGGTAGTAAACAAACTCATTCTTACTTTCATATTATTGTTAAACACAGGTTAACCAATTTACATGTTTTTTCATTTAAACAATATAAAACTATCTTGGTTCATTCAAATGAGGCCACAAAGGTTGTTCCTTGCCTGGTTTTTTTATATATATATTGAACAAACTAACATGATGTCTCTCAGAAAATTAGTTACAGCAGATGATACCGAAGCAGAAGTAATAAGAGACTTTGGGATATTGTTTTCCTGGATAGCACTGGAAGGGAAGAGAAAACAAAATGTGAGAAAAAGCAAAACAAATGTCATTTCTTGCATTTTCCTGTACAGGTGTTTATGGTAATTTGTTTTGCTGCAGAAGGACTGTCAGACAGAAAAGTGTGATACAAATGTTAATATCTATATCTATACACACAACAATAATAACAACAACAACACAATATGAGGATTTAAAGACTGAACTGCAAAGATTCTGGCACAAGCCAATAAAGGTGGTCCCAGTGGTGATCGGCACACTGGACGCAGTGCCTAAATTATTATTATTATTATTATTAAACTTTATTTGTACCCCGCTAGCATCTCCCGAAGGATTCGATGCGGCTTACACAGGCCGAGGCCTCAACACACAACACAACAATACAATCTAAGCAAATCAAACAATTAAAAACAGAATAAAGCAAAATAAACAACAGGCACAATACAGTAAACACAATAAAACTGGGCCGGGCCAGAGCAATGGGTACAAGATTAAAAGTGCTGATGTGACAGGAGGTGTATATAGGGCTTCCAGGGCAAGTGCGATGTGCGATGTGCAGCAATCATTGGTTATGATAAAGTGCTTATGGGACTTGGTGGTGGAGATTTCGTAATCTGGGAAGGCGCATTGGAAAAGCCAGGTCTTCAAGTTCTTTCTGAAGGCAGCCAATGTAGGGGCCTGTCTAAGGTCTTTGGGGAGGGTGTTCCAGAGTTGGGGGGCCACCATGGAAAAGGCCCTGTCCCGCGTCCCCACCAAGCGCGCTTGCGACGCTGGTGGGATCACGAGCAGGGCCTCTCCAGATGACCGAAGAGAACGTGTGGGTTCGTAGATGGAGATGCGGTCACGCAGGTAGGCTGGTCCCAAACCGTTCAGGGCTTTGTAGGTAAGCACCTGCACCTTAAATTGGGCTCGGAAAATAAACGGCAGCCAGTGGAGCTCCTTGAACAGGAGGGTTGACCTCTCTCTGTAAGGGGCCCCAGTTAGCATCCTGGCTTGTGATCGTTGGACCAGTTGGAGCTTCCGAGCCGTCTTCAAGGGCAGCCCCACGTAGAGCGCATTGCAGTAATCCAATCTGGAGGTGACCAAGGCATGGACCACTCCAGCCAGATCCGCCTTCGCGAGGTACGGTCGCAGTTGGCGCACGAGTCTCAGTTGTGCGAAAGCCCTCCCAGACACCGCCGACGCCTGAGCCTCAAGCGTAAGCGTTGAATCCAAGAGGACTCCCAAACTGCGGACCTGTGACTTCAGGGGGAGTGTAACCCCGTCCAGCACAGGTTGCCACCCTATACCCCGGTCAGGTTTACGATCGACCAGGAGGACCTCTGTCTTGTCGGGATTAATCTTCAGCTTGTTCCTCCTCATCCAGATAGACACAGCGGCCAGGCACTCGTCCAGCACCCGAGAGGCCTCCTTGGAATTAGGTGGAAAAGAGTAGTAGAGTTGTGTGTCATCTGCGTAGAGGTGGCACCTAACTCCAAAACTCCGGATGACCTCTCCCAGCGGTTTCATGTAGATGTTAAAGAGCATGGGAGACAGAATAGAGCCTTGCGGGACCCCACAGGTCAAAGGCCAGGGGGCCGAGCAGGCGTCTCCCAGCTTCACCATCTGGGATCGACCCTCCAGGAAGGATTGGAGCCACGACAGAACCGTGCCCCCGAGACCCATCCCAGAGAGTCATCCCAGAAGGATACCATGATCGATGGTATCGAAAGCCACTGAGATGTCCAAGAGAACCAACAGAGTCACACTCCCCCTGTCCAGCTCTCTACGGAGGTCATCCACCAAGGCGACCAAGGCTGTCTCGGTGCCGTGACCAGGCCTGAAACCAGACTGTGACTGATCTAGGTAGTTGATGTCATCTAAAAAGCCCTGGAGCTGGGAGGCAACCACCCGCTCCGACACCTTACCCAAGAAAGGGAGGTTGGAGATCGGTCTGAAATTGTTCAGCACCATGGAGTCAAGGGAAGCCTTTTTAAGGAGTGGACGAACCACAGCTTGTTTCAGGAGAGATGGAAAAGACCCCTGCTCCAATGATGCATTGATGATCAACCCAAACCAATCAACCAAACCCTCCCTGGCCGATTTAATTAGCCAGGACGGGCAAGGGTCCAGAGCCGAAGTGGTTGCCCTCACAGCCCCAAGGACCTCCTCCACAGTCTCAGGAGGAACAAGCCTAAAAGAATCCCACAAAGTTGGACAAGCAGATGCCTCAATCACCTCCTCTGGCACTGCGGTGAAATTGGAGTCGAGCTCAAGGCGTATCTGAGCGACTTTGCCTGCAAAATGGTGTGCGAAATCGCTACACCGAGTTGCCGGGTCATCAAAAACCTCCTCCACCACAGGTGGCTGAAGAAGCTCCCAAACGACCCGGAACAATTCCGAAGATCTATTTGCTGCAGACGCTATACGGGTAGTCGTATAGGACTCCTTGGCTACCCGTATAGCCACAGTATACGCCCTAAGAGAGGCTGTAGCCCGTGCTCGATCAGACACGTCCCGAGATCTCCTCCAAGTGCGCTCTAGCCCCCTCCTCACATGCTTCATCACAGCCAGTTCCCCGGTGAACCAGGCCTGCACGTAAACACAATTGGCGCTGACAAAATTACCATCTGCCAGCTGCAAAAGACCACCTTACTGGGATCTGTGCACATTATTCGCCAATACATCACACAGTCCTAAAACCCTACACGGCCCAGCTTATCTGTTCGAACGTATCTCCTTCTACGTCCTGCCTAGGAATTTAAGATCTTCTGGAGGGGCCCTGCTCTCGGCCCCGCCCTTGTCACAGATGAGATTGGCGGAGACGAGGGACAGGGCCTTCTCGGTGGTGGCCCCCCCGCCTGTGGAATTCACTCCCCGGGGAAATTAGATCATCGTCATCCCTCCTCTCTTTTCAGAAGGAAATTAAAAACATGGATATGGGACCAGGCCTTTGGGTAATCTGGCAGACTGACAAGGACAATGAGGCCTAAAGCTTTGGAAACGGACTATGATAAGCGGAATGAATGTATTAATTCCAGACTTGGCGAAATGATGGCCACCAGGCTGGCTTTTTATTGTATTAATGTAATGTTTTAACTGTTTATAATTATTGTTACTATGTGTTTTATTGTGTTGAATTGTAGGCATCAAACGCATGCAGGTTGGAAGCCACCCTGAGTCCCCCTTAGGGAGTTGAGAAGGGCGGGGTAGAAGTACCCGAAATAAATAAATAAATAAGTGTCCAACGTGTGATCCAATTCAACAGCCAGCAGAGTGATCTTGTTTGCTGTGGACTCATCTTGTTGTGTTTCTAATAACAACAACAACACATAATAAAAGTGAAAATATGTATGCGTGTATGTGGCTGGGCTGTCCACTTACACAGACAAGCTCCTGCCTCCACAAACAGATATAGCTCACACTGCTGGAGACACCAATGGGCCTTCCTCCAATCACATTGCAGTTTGTAGTGAGCGCCACGAACATGTCCAAGAGCCCTGCCAATGTCCTCCACAAACACAATACTGCCCACCACCCAAGTGAAGGCTTTCATACGGGGACAATTTCATCCTAGATCTTATGTGGTTCCTACACCACAGACATCCCAGTGTTTCTTACTATCATTAGTGTGGAATTTGCATGACCCCACCCACTGCCTCTCCCTTAACTCTTTCCTATTTGTTTCTATGGCACAGAGAGGAAATGATCAGCAACTGAACATATTAGAGAGTTTTGGGGGGAATTTACCTTGATCCATGAGTTTAAGTAGTGGGATTTATAGTTCAACTGCAATCTAAGAGCACTCTGAACCCCACCAGTAATGAACCTGGAACTAATTTGGCACACAGGACCCCCATAACGAACAAAAAATGCCAGAGGTCTTTGGAGGGATTTATAGGAGTTGTAATTCACCTACATCCAGAGCACACTATGAACCCAAACAATGATGGATCAGGACCAAACTTGGCATGCATGCCTGATATGCCCAAATTTGAATGCTGGTGGGTTTTGCGGAGAATTGGCCTGGACATTTTAGAGTTGTAGGTACTGGGATTTATACTTCACCTGCAAGCAGTGAACACTCTGAACTCCACCAAAGATGGAATTGGACCAAACTTGGCACACAGAGCCCCCATGACCAGCAAAAAAATACTGGAGGTCTTTGAGGAAAATTCACCTTGATTTGGGGGAGCTGTAGTTCACCTACATCCAGAGAGCACTGTGAACCCAAACACTGATGGATTTGGACGAAACTTGACAAACATACCTGATATGCCAAAACATGAATATTGGAAGGGTTTAGGAGGAATTGACCTTCCTTTCTGGAAGTTGTAGTTCACGCACAACCAGAGAAACTGTGACCTTCACCAATGATGGACCTGGACCAAACTTGGCACACAGACCCTTATGACTAATTCAACCTACTGGAAGGATTTGAGGGGACTGACTCGCCATAGTGGGAGTTGTAATTTACCCTACAGCCAGAGAGCACACTTCACCCCACCGATGATGCATCTAGAGCAAACTTGCCCAGCATAACAAACTTTAAGTACTAATGGAGCCTTCTGGGGTGAACCTAGCATGATGTCAGTTGTAATTCACCCACAACCTTAGGCATTTTGTGCAATTAAAAATTGACTTTTTCAAAACCTGAGCAATGCTGGGCACCCAAGCTAGTAATATAATAAATATGATTAATTAACATATTTATATCTCACCCTCTATCATGAATATCATGAATTAAAATAAGTTAAAGAAATTCAAAAATATAAATAAGAAATCATTTAAATAGTTGTTATGTATGCCTTAAAAATACAGGATTTACAAAGACATACAATATGATCTCCATATCCACAGGGCTGATATATGTGCTTTCCTTCATCCACATCGGGGGAAAAATATGTCCCCCATAGGCATTTTCGAGATCTTCCTACTCTATGGTATCTATGGCATCTTTCTATGCTCCTTCATTTGAATACTTTCATCCAGAATCATATAGCTCCATGGATTTGGAGTTCATGCCATAGAGACAATATGGGCATTGCATTGTAATTTTTCAGTACTTTCTCCAGTCATCTTCTTGAAGATTCAGATTTTTGTTGTAAGCTGCTTTGAGTCCCAAACAGGAAAATGTAGAATATAATGAGAACAATAACAACCAACAAACCTTTCTAGAAAATCCCCATATCCCGTCTTTTGTTGATGTCTCTCTTCAGCTGGCAAAGCGAACAGTGCGGGCACCACCAGGTAACACAGAAGTCTCTCAAGAGAGATCCCTGTTGAACAGGAAAATACATGTTAGAAATCTTTTTAAAAATGTCCTGGAGAACAAAGGCAAACTGTTGAGAAGATAGATGCTAACTTGTATAATAACACTATGTAACAAAATTTGAATTTTTTTCTGTTCATGGTTTGAAAGATTAGAGAGATGAGCCAAAACAAACAAAATGAAGTTCATCAGGAACAAATGCAAGATACTCCACTTAGGCAGAAAAAATGAAATGCAAAGACACAGAATGGGGGACGATGGCTGGCACTACAACAATATGTGTGAAAAAGATCTTGGAATCCTCGTGGACAACAAGATAAACATGAGCCAACAATGGGATTTTGGCCTGTATAAATAGGAATCTAGAGTCTAGATCCAGGGAGGTCATGCTACCATCCTATTCTGCCTTGGTCAGGCCACACCTGGGCACCACAATTGAAGAGACATGTTGACAAGCTGGAATGTGTCCAGAAGAGGGTGACTAAAATGATCAAGGGTCTGGAGAACAAGCCCTATGAAGAGCGGCTTAAAGAACTGGGCATGTTTAACCTTCAGAAGAGAAGGCTGAGAGGCGACATGATGAGGGCCATGTATAAATATGTGAGGGGAAGTCATAGGGAGGAGGGAGCAAATTTGTTTTCTGCTGCCCTGGAGACTAGGACATGGAACAATGGCGTCAAACTACAGGAAAAGTGTTTCCACCTGAATATTAAAAAGAACTTCCTAACTGTGAGAGTTGTTCAGCTGTGGAACTCTCTGCCGCAGAGTGTGGTAGAGGCTCCTTTCTTGGAGGCTTTTAAACAGAGGCTGGATCGCCATCTGTCGGGGGTCTTTGAAGGCAATTTTCCCGCTTCTTGGCAGGGGGTTGGACTGGATGGCCCATGAGGTCTCTTCCAACTCTATGATTCTATACGTCAAAGACACTATATAGTTAAATGTTCACGTAAGTGTTATTTCCTGTTTAATTGTGTGGTACTTACTTTGAAAGTTGTTGTTATAACTCCAGAAACTTGTTTTTGTGGCTGCCACAAACTAGGTCGAATTGGTTGAGACTCTAGGGGATATTCATTGAAAGACTATAGCAAAATGTGTTTCAGGATGTTCTGCAAAAGTTTTATAAACTTTTACCATGTTTGTATGATAAAACCAATTAGGAAATGACATATATAAACATAGTATAATTTCTTTGAAAGGACCAGAGCTTGGAAACTTTTGCTTTTTCATTTTTACAAAATAGAATTACAGCTTCTAGAATTCCCCAGTTGACTCAAGGAAATGGGCCAATTTAGCTGAATTACAACACAACCTTGTGCCATTGAATGGGGAATTGCAAAACAGTTATCTTCCTTTTGAAGGTCTTGGACTACAGTCTCTTTCATTTCTAATCAAGTTCTGAATGTTGGGAGTTGGAGGCCAAGACAGCTAAAGGGTGCCTAATCAGGGATGGCTATATAACCCTTTTGTTTGTGTTAGCATTAGCTTTCTAAATCAAATCTTTTCTTTAAAAAAACCTATGAGGTTTATTAGTTTGTGATGTATCTTCCAGTCATGTCCAATTTATGATGTCCAGAAGGAGAAACTGTCAAAAAATTTTTGGGAGGCCAGATTTGTTCAATGGGGAATTGCCATTGCCTTCCTCTGAGGCTGAGAGGATGTGACTTGCCCAAGTGGGCTTCCCTAACCAAGTTAGGATATTAACCCTAATTCCCTGGCCCAACATTCAAATAACTACACTATATAACTAGTGGAAATGGTTAATCAGGACATGTAATATTTAGTGTGTAACTAACAACCATTTTCTAAGCCTCTGTTTGCATATTGCTTTTTTTTTTTTAACCAGGGACCACTTTAACCAGGGACCACTTTCTAATATTAGTACCAAAAGGGTTACATATCAGGTTTTGGTCAACTTAAGATTCAGTTTGGTTATTTGGGGTGCTGATCCAGAAAATTGCATTGGATAGACCACATCAGCTCTAGTTTCTGGTACAGAACACATGCCATCTAGTAGTCACCATCTGCTCAACCATGGAAAGCCATATTTAATAATCTAGAGCTGATGTGATAGTAGTAGTAGTAATCTTTTATGGGTAGTCAGCCCCTCTCCTCCCGGCATCTCCGTTGCCTCAGCACTATAAGAGGGTTTTGCCAGACCATTAGCTCTTGTTGCCGCCTGGTTTTGCAGCAACAGTGTAGTAATGGTGAGGCCACGGACCATATTTTCGTTCTTGCGGACCACTGGTGGTCTACAGGCCACAGGTTGGGGACCACTGCTTCAACTTATTTTACTATTAGATACATATTGGATTGTACTGTTTCCTCTATTTAGTCATACACAATTCCAGAAATGTGGCCAGGATACAGGAACAAGTAAATAACCCTCTAATATAGATTTGGGCATAAGTGTGTCAAATAATTGCCACAAAGAAATAAGGTTTGATTCAATATTGTTCTTACAATCCAGATTCTGCACCAAGGAAAATTGAATTTTGCGACCTATAGAAATGATGACTATAGAAATTATGACAATTAGGACCTTTTGCAGAATTTATTTTATCTGATTGACTTATTTATTTATCGTGTCATCAGCAACCATACCATTGTATTACAATTCTAGCAGAACAAAACAAACACACAGATTAAAAAAAAAACACAGATTTTGATTGACTGGGAAAGCCACAGAGATCATTGTGCAGAGCAATTCAAGACCAGTTCACGTTGGTCTAGTTCAGTGGTTCTCAACCCGGGGTCCCCAGATGTTTTTGGCCTACAACTCCCAGAAATCCCAACCAGTTTACCAGCTGTTAGGATTTCTGGGAGTTGAAGGCCAAAAACATCTGGGGACCCACAGGTTGAGAACCACTGGTCTAATTGGTTCTTGATGGCGCATTTCCTTTATGAGAACATGATGCTTACTCTATTGGGCTTTTTCTAATACAGTGTCACCTGCAGCTTCACTGACTAACATCAAAAATAAACAATAAATAAATAAATAAAGTGGGTTGCTGTGAGTTTTCCAGGCTATAAGGCCATGTTCCAGAAGCATTCTCTCCTGACGTTTCACCCACATCTATGGCAGGCATCCTCAGAGATTGAGGGATCTGTTGGAAACTAGGCAAGTGAGATTTAGATATCTGTGGAATGTCCAGGGTGGGAGAAAGAACTCTTGTCTGCTTGAGGCAAGTGGGGATGTTGCAATTGGCCACCTTGATTAGCATTGAATGACCTTGCAGCTTCAAAGCTTGGCTGTTTCCTGCCTGGGGAAATCCTTTGTTGGGAGGTGTTAGCTGGCCCTGATTGTTCCCTCTATATATATTTATAGAACCCCCAGTGCAATTCTATGTTATGTTTCTACAAGAAGTTGACCATAGATCATGTTGGAGGTCCTAGAAATGCTATAAAGGTGTTCTTTCTAGACTTTTTAAGGTCTTGCAACCTGAGCCTATGGCATACTTCCACCAGAAATTGTTCATTTAAGTAGGTTTCACTGTTATCCATGGTTTTGTTTTTCCATGGTAAGTCCAGGAACGTATCCCCCGAGGATATATAGTTGAACTGTGTTGTGTATCACATAGATTTGCATGCAGTTTCCGTACCAAATTGCAATCTTAATAGAAGAGGAGCCATTTGAGTTCCACAAGCTCTATGACAGGTGAGCATATGAAGTCCTACTTTTGTGCATGTACTCAGTTGACAACAGAAGAGAGTAAGTGTAAAAGATTTACTTACGGGGATCCCGTATTTTGTCCGGTAGACAGACCTCATGGCCATGGTTAGACCACACAGGCAACATTCATCCATATCTGAAGCAACTTGGCAGCCCAAACATAATGGGAAAAATGTTCCGCAGAGGCCTAGAGAGAAAGGAGAGCATGAAAAGTCTCTGGAGGATATCACTAAGGAGGGTCTAGTACTAATACAACAAGTAGGAATGTAATATTTTAAAAAATTGCAATCTAGTCAAAGATTTTGTTCCCAGATAGCTATGAGAAGCTCATGAGCAGGAGATGTTTATCATAGCATCCTCCTTCTTGCATTTCCCGAAGGCATTATACTCTCTGATGCTAGAAGCAATGGTAGCTGGTGGTTTTCATGTTAGTAGGGGGGTGAATCTGTAATCAGGTGTGATTACAGACTATATAATCCCAATTTTAATATCAGCTCTTGTAAGAGAGGGGAATATAGTCACCATAGCTCAAGGCTTGGCCCCTTCTCTTCAGTCCTGAGAGGAAGGAGAATCCTCTCAAGTGAGGGCACTGCTTTGCAAAATGTGTTCTTACATATTTTCCTCATTTATAAGACTTGGCATCTGTTGTCTTTAAATTTTAGTTGCATCCTCTGTGCAGCGTTTGTGGATGCTTAATGTATCACACTTATGCCACCATCAGTACCTTATTTTCCTAGCACCATCTTTGGAATATCAACAAGCACATATCTGTACCTTCTAAGTGTCCTGATTTGCCAGGGACAATCCTGATTAATACTCCAATGCTCCATTTTTAAAAACTGCTTTTAAGATGTCCCAGTTTTTCTCTCTCTCTCCTATTTTATCCCTTTGATTGCCTCTTTGCGACAGCAGTACATGTGAAAAATATCTTGGACTCCTCCTGAGGAACAAGGTAAACATGAGTCAACAATGCTATGCAGTGGCAAAGAAAAAAGCCAATGGGATTTTGGCCTGCATAAATAGGAGTATGGTGTCTAGATCCAGGGAAGTCATGCTATCGCCCTATTCCGCCTTGGTCAGACCACACCTGGAATACTGTGTCCAATTCTGGACACCACAATTGAAAGGAGATGTTGATAAGCTAGAATGTGTCCAGAGGAGGGGAACTAAAATGATCAAGGGTCTGGAGAACAAGCCCTATGAGGAGAGGCTTAAAGAGCTGGGCATGTTTCGCCTGCAGAAGAGAAGGCTGAGAGGAGACATGAGGACCATGTATAAATATGTAAGGGGAAGTCATAGGGAGGAGGGAGAAAGCTTGTTTTCTACTGCCCTGGCTTCAAACTACAGGAAAGGAGATTCCTCCTGAACATGAGGAAGAACACCTGACTGTAAGAGTTGTTCAGCAGAGGAACTCTCTGCCCTGGAGTGTGGTGGAGGCTCCTTCTTTGGAGGCTTTTAAGCAGAGGCTGGATGACCATCTGTCGGGGGTGCTTTGAATGCAATTGTCCTGCTTCTTGGCAGGGGGTTGGACTGGATGGCCCACGAGGTCTCTTCCAACTCAAGGATTCTATGATTCTATGAATTGCTGAGAACTCAGAAGTGCAGATGTTGCACCCCATTCACTTTCATAACCATATCTGAACTCAGCTTCAATTTACGAAGTAAGCCTGACCCTCCTATATTCATTCAATTGCTACTAAAGAGATGTGATGATCCCATTCTGTTTCTTTTGATGCTGTACTCCAAGTATCTTAAGCTATATGAAGCGAGGGATCAGCAGTCTTTTCCCCAAATATGTCTGGGACCATATCTGTGACCAGTCTGAAAATTGGACAGGGCCCTTGTACCTTTAATGGTTGTATAGAAGAGGGAATGTCAACCAGTGTTGCTCTGTTACTTTGTTTTATGATAAGCAACACTTCCTTAAATGCCCTCTTCTATACCAACTACTACTCTAATTACAGCCGACCACATTTGCAAGTTTAATTTTGCAGTTTTGTGTATGCACTGATTTGATTAGTATGTTTTCTCTATTTATTTATTTACAGTATTTATATTCTGTCCTTCTCACACCGAAGGGGACTCAGAGCAGTCACAGAGTAAATATACAGCAAACATTCAATGCTGTTATACACCAACAAGAAGGACAACTGTACATAGATAGAGGTATATAGGCTTTTCCATTTTCGGCGTCTTAGAGTCTGTGCTCGGTTCTAGCCACGGGGGGGGGGGGGGTCACTCCATCTTCCCTGCTAAAGAGCTTTGTTCATAACTCCCTCGAATCGCTGGCATTTTCCTGGCATTTCCTTATGGGTGCCTGAATACCTTCCCGCTTTAAAGTTGTATTTATCTACTCACATTTTTCAAACTGCTAGGTAAATAGAAGCTGGTGTAAAGGTCAGCAGCTCACCCTACCTGGACTTCGAACTGCCAACCTTCCAATTGGCAAAATTTGCTACAGCTGGTGGTTAACCTGCTGTACTAAAGCCCGGCCCTGCTGTGCTAAAAATCTAGAAATCTCTAAATCCTCTGGTGTAACTCTGTGGTCTGCTTTGGCTGAAAGATGACCAAGTGAGAATACTTCCCTAGGCATTTTGTATGTTCTCGAGCGTGGCTCTGTGGTCAACATCTAGTGAAAACCGGTCACAGAGTCATGCTGCAGGGCCTAGAGAGGCTTTAACTTAGGTAAAATGAATATCAGGGTTGTTTATTTTTGGTTTTCCCTCTTTCATGGGACCATTCACCTCTAACTCCAGCAAATGTGGATGGCAATCTATAGTGTTTCTTGAACTTGTGTCCATCTCAGCGCCATTGGCTTTCCTTGGCAAGTTTCTTGGAAATAATCAAGTAATAATATCCAATGGGAACAAGTTTAGTATCAGGCTCAGTAATATGCAGTCCTGCACATCAGATCCCCTGAGACGCATTGTTCTACACAACTTTAAAGGAACAGGAGTCCTTTCCAGTTTTCACTTTGCGAACCCTGTTTGTGACCATTAGGTTTATGTATTTATTTATCGTGTCAGGAGCAACCAGACAGTTGTATTACATTTTTAACAAAACAAACAAACAAACAAACAGATAAAACACAAAGTTTGCAAGCTTGGTAGTTGATTAAATGTCCTTTGACCAGTATCTGGCCACTTGGAGTGCCTGTGGTGTTGCTGCAAGAAGGTCCTCCATTGTGCATGTGGCAGGGCTCAGGTTGCATTGCAGCAGGTGGTCAGTGGTTTGCTCTTCTCCACACTCGCATGTCATGGATTCCACTTTATAGCCCCATTTCTTAAGATTGGCTCTGCATCTCGTGGTGCCATTAGGTTACAACTGTATATTTTGTTCTTGGGAAGTCTCTAGTATGTTTTTGCCTCCAGAACAAGCATCAATCTAAGGACAATCATTTTGAGGAACCCTGCTCTAGTCAAAAGGTACACTCTCTACTTCTGATATTCCTTGACATGGCTTACTACTCTTGTGTCCACACACAGAAGTGATCAAAGCAGGATGGATTTCCCTTCATTCTTCCCAAAACCATTCGAATGAAAATAAGGGTTGAGACGTGATTTTCTTATTGCCATTTAGCTGACATAGAACAAAGACTCATGATAATAGTATTTGGTTGGACCCTAAATTTGCACACATCCAAACATAATGGAAATAGATTAAATATGGATTAGACTTAATCTGACATCTTCTGGATACATTGAACTACAACTCCCAGAATCCTTCAACAACCAATGCACTTTGTGGGTTACTGAAAGCTGTAGTCCAGCACATCTAAAAGATCCAGGCTGGAAAAGGTTGGTGTAGACAGCAGTGATCATAAATTAATCCAGATACTAGAAATATTTAGGGATTTCTTTGGACCGGCAGTCCCAGGATTCCTTGTAATTTGGCCATGCTGTCTGGGGAATCCTGGGGCTGTAGTCTTAAATAGTGGTTTATTCTGTGTGCTCAGATGTTGCCCTTCCCTCATTGTGTACGTAGTAGGAGCAAATATGCTGTAGTTGAACGAGAACTGGTGATTTATAGGGTCAATTTAGGACTGATCTTAGTTCATAAAACATGTTTAAAATAACACCCAGTTGCCAAGAGTACATATTGATTCTAGCACTCCTAACCCAAAACGTCCTACCCTTAGTCAACATCCATCTATGCATTTACAAACAGGAATTACTTCCTTCATAAAATGTTTCTGGGTAGAAGAAGGGTATTTGAGGCAACAAGTCTCAACAGGCTATAGTGGGTAGCTCTGCAGATTAGTATTTACACCGCAAATACTCACATACACCACAGTCGCTAAAGCAGTCGAGTAGGTCGGTCTGCCATTGGGGGCTTTGTTGTTGGACAACCACAACCTGAGGTTGACTCATGATCACTGGATTGCTCATTCTGCAGGCTATTGTTTCAGAGGGAGAGAAATATGAGGGTGTTAAGGAGCTGTTGGACAAACCAAGAAGAAGTAGCAACTGAAAATTACGAGAATAATAATACAAGTTAAGTATACTATGACACACATATCTGTGAACTAAATTTCCACAGTTTCACCATGTCTGTGGGCTACTCTAAGTCATCCAGTACAACTGTATTGTAGGCTTCCAACACAAGTACAGCCAAAATATTGGGTTCACTCTTATCTATGGTTTTGAAGATCTATGGAGAATTCTTCAAACATATCATAAGTGGATATGAGGTCATACTGTACTACAGGGCCATTTAGAGCAGGAACGTGAAGCACCAGATATTTGCAGAATCAAATTTTCTAAGTATTTCATCATAATGTTTCCATCTAATTAATGGCTTCCTTTAGACTGGGGTAGACAAAGTGTAGCCAATGGGCCCCACATGAAGCCCTCAGGAGCTATAGGTATGGGGCCTCTCCACTTCAATTTTTTGTTTGTTTGTTGCTTCCAGATGCTTCATAGAGTTGTGGTTTTGGTGTAATCCCAGTCCTCACAGCTTGAACCCAGAAGCACTGGTTGGTCATTTCCTGTCTGGACTTTTTGGTGAATGGGAGGAGACCGTTCGTGACCTACACCACATTCACTGTTGCTATATTGATGTTGTGTGCCTTCAAACCGTTTCCAATGTATGGTGACCTAAGCCAAACCTATCCAAGGGTTTTCTTGGCAAAATTTGTTCATCTTAGGCTGAGAAGATTGTGACTTGACCAAGGTCACCCTATGAGTTTCCATGGCTGAGCAGGAATTCAGACTCTGGTTTCTAGAATCATAGTTCAACCCTCAAACCACAACACTACACTGCTCTCCTGCTATATATTAATAGCAAACTTGGAGTGTCATAGCATTATGTTGCTGTAACTCACGGTTACTCCAGCAGTTGTATTTTTAACATCTTTGGTTAACGACAAACAGTGTCTTCCGACACAAGCAATTCATTATTCAATGTAATGCAATAAGCTATCTTAAAAGTCTATCCATTTGGTTGTCCCATCTCTATCTCCCTGTGATCTGGGATAGTTATCAGAACAACTAGTGGAATAGGCCCCCAAAATGTGACTTAGAGCATCAATGATGTATCAATCAGCAGTTAATTCAGTATCCTGCTGCTTTAAAAAAGTTTCAAAATCTTTACTCTTATGATGTGGAGCTTTTGGGGGGAAAATGGCACCAACTGCAAACAAGACAAAGGTAGCTGTTTGGACAGGGAAATATACAATTCGCAGAAGTACCATCACCAGCATCATGGTTGGCTGGAGATGAATGAACCTATAAAAAAGAGTCCAGTGTGGCCTGGCTGTGCTCAGCAGTTATACAGTGACAGTTGCCAGATCTCAAGGTCTTGCCCAGAATCTTCAGTTATGGTGGTTCCATTTTTCATTGATCACTTGTACTCAAGTTCAAATTGTCTCCAACATATATGTATGCCCCCCAGCATCACTTTCTCCCCAAGGTTAACCATAGAATCATGCTGCAAGATCTATATATTCTTAATGAGAAAAAATTGTAGGACCTCCACAGGCCCGTAGCCAGGATTTCGTTTTGGGGGGGGGGGGGGGGGAATTTTTTCAGGGGAGGGTTTCGGGGGGCTGAGTTGGGGGGGCTGAGTCTGAGTGAAAGAGGGTCTACCTAGCAAACCTTTTGTATCATTACCCCAATACCCCCATGTATATGGGATATATTAAGTATGGTGATCAGATCATGATATGAATAAACATAACAATTTAAATAATGTACCAGTAACCCCCCCCCCCCCGGCTACATGCCTGGACCTCCAGCAAAAACTTCTGGTGGATATTGATCACAGAGTTGCATTGGAGGACCTAGAGATTTCAAGGAAGGTGTTTAACAAAACACTCCTAACAACCATAAAGACAAGAGCCTACTGTACATTGCAGTCAATGCTCCATGACCTTACCTATCCATAACTCAAGTTGCAGAAACACAATTAAACCCTACAAATTCAATGACTAAGGCTCTATCTGCACTGTTATACAATGCAGTCTTCAACTGCATTATTATTATTATTATTATTATTATTATTATTATTATTATTATTATTATAAATAATAAACTTGATTTGTACCCCGCCACCATCTCCCCAAAGGGGACTCAGGGCAGCTAACATGAGGCCAAGCCAAAATTACAGTACAGCAAAATAAAATACAACGAAGCAAAAAGTATCAAAATAAAATACATGAAATAACAAAACAAAATAAACATTTACTAAATAACACGATAGAGAAGTAGGAAATGCACAGGATAAAACTGATAAAACCCTGGATGAGATAAGTAGTTGGAGAATGTGTTTCTGAGGGAGGAGCTCAAAAGAGGCGAACAGTGGGGTTAGACCTTCATTGAGAGTGGGAGGAAAGTGCATCATGAGGATGGAACTATAGTTGGAACAGACAAAATATGGAATATATGTTCACTCACCAAAGGCACATAGGAAGAGCCAAATTTTGTAGGTCTTTCTTAAAAGCTCCCAGGGTAGGGGCTTGCCTAATCCCACTAAGTAGTAATGTGGCAGTGTAGATAGAGCCAAAGTAGCTAACTATTTAAGGCTACTTATGAAGATGCAAGTCCCTAGTAGAATAATAATAATAATAATAATAATAATAATAATAATAATAATAATAATAATTCTTATGATAATGATTGTGTGCAACGTGTGGTCCCTGAACCCACATCCTCCAAGTATCCCAATTTGGCAGGAACAGTCTCAAGTAATCCTGTTTCCCCATTTTTTAGCTGCTTTCAAAATGTCTGAGTCCTTCCTCCTTTTCCCATACTTCCATCGCTACAAACCGAGTTCAAAGTACAAAGTATATTGCAGCTATTAATTCAGCAGAGAACAGAGGAGGCAGAATGTTGTCCTTCCTGATGGATTCAAGATAAAGAAACAACTGAGGCTTTCTCTAGATCAGTGGTCCCCAACCTGTGGCCCGTGGACCATCAGTGGTCCAGGAAAAACTAAAATATGGTCTGCGGCCTCACCTTTTCTACATAATTGCAACGAGAGTGACTGGTCTCACAAAATCCTCTTTTAGTGCCAAGACTTATTGAATATGGTTTCTGTGGGTGGGCAGATGGCAATTACTGGATGGCATATGTTCTGTGTCAGAAACTAGAGCTGATGTGATCTATCCAATTCAATTTTCTGAACTGGCATCCCAAATGACCAAACCGAATCTAAAGTTGACCAAAAACTGATTCATAGTCCTTTTGGTACAAAAGTTAGAGAGTGGTCCCTAGTAAAAAAAAAAGTTTGGAAACCACTGTTCTAGATTAATTACTATGCCATCTTGACCACAGTCTGATGTTGCTTGGCCACATGTTTCCGGGTTTTCATTTGTGAAATGTTGGAGAGTATGTGAACCATAAAAATCAGTGTGGTCTGTGGGAATGAAAACATTAGAAAACTTTGTGTTGAAAAACTGGGAACTAGAAATCTGCTGTGATCTATGTTATCACTAGTAGATCCTGTGCTATCCCCTGTCCAAGTATGGAGCCACTCTTGCACACAAAACCACTTCCCTCTTTCTACATTTGACCACCTAAAAAGGGCAGGACCAAAGGGACAAAGCTAGAAAAACACAGGCCCTTCCTGTAGCTAACAATTTGGTAAGATAGGAAAGGAAATAATAAAAAGCTATCGCAAATAGCAAAATTACAAGGAAGTGATTCAAATAGTCTCTCCAGTATGACTTCCCGTAAAGCAGGTGAAGAACTATCTGAATTAATTTCTAAAACAGTGCAGCGCGGTTAGCAGATCAGGTTAATATTTCTCCAAATGGTGGAGGCAATTTTAAGGCTAGGAGGTTTTTTGTTTTTTTTGGGGGGGGGGGCATTTTTTCTTTTGACCACATAGGAGTTCAGAGGGATCCAAACATGGTGTAAATGCCCTCCATAATTCCTGGAAATTGTTCACACTACACTTTATAGAGCTATTATCCCACTGGAATGCAAGTCTTGCTAAACAAGCTGATGTCCCCTTTTTATGAATTACAAATGAAGCATTTTCTGAAGCGTCCACTGCAAACACTACATATTGCTGCTAACAATTTTGTGTAAATGTCTTAAATACTTGCAAGGTGACATTCAGAAAACTTTTTCTGTTTCCAAACTTTTCAGGACTCCAACATTTAACTAAAGGAACCACATTTAGAGTCAGGACGCACAGTTTACGAAGCAGAGCTCTAGCATTGTGGTGCAATAGCTATAAGACTATCTCTGCAATTAAATAGATAACATAGCATAAGACAAGGGATGACGAAAGCCGCAATTTAACAATGCCTGAAGGGCCGCACTTTTTCCACTTCTTATCTTTGTTCCTTTTTTATCTATCCATTGAGCTGACAATCTATAGGTTCTATCGTGTCGAACCAAATGCAGCATTGGGGACACTATGGGTTCATCTACACTGTGGAATTAATGCAGTTTGACACTCCTTGAATGCTTATCCCTCAATTCTATGGAATCACAGGAATTGTGATTTGGGAAGACACCATCCATTTTTGGCAGACAAGTCCAAAGACCATGTAAAATTACACCTCCCATGATTCAGTAGCACTGAGCCATGGCAGTTAAAGTAGTGTCAAGCTGCATTCATTCTACGGTGTAGATGCACCCAGAGTTTGTCAAAACTATGCGAAAACTGGCTCTTTGCTTCAAACTAAAATAGCACAAGTAAAAAACTTGTCTATACAACAGTTAGTGCAAGTAATATTTGTATCAATGCCAAACAACGGCTGTGCTGTCACGCGCTGGGCCTATGAAAGAGTCTGTAGACAGGATGTGTTTTCTGTATGCCCAACGGGATACCGGGGGTGCCTCGGATTAGAGGCCTTTTGGATTTCCCTAAACAAAGTCTTTAGAAACTTGGAAAGTTTCACGAAGTTCTTTATTATTGCTTAGGTCTTCAATAAGTCAAACAAATACTTCAAGGCTTTGAATCAACTGGTGGCTTTCTTAATCTTGTCCACAAGGGACAAGAACTGTTTCTTCACTATCAGGGAAATCCTTGACCTCTACCTGGGCAATCTGTCTTAGGCTCTGCTGGCGTGGGCCCCTACACCCGGTCCAAATTGCATTATGGCTGCCACGAGTGGTCCTTACCAAACAGAGTCCTTTTGTAGATTTCCAAGAGGAAAGAAGGTCTTCAATTCCCAGTGAAGGCTGGCTGTAAAGCTGTGGGACTGGATTCCCCCAGCAAAAGCTATGCTTCTCTGTAGAGCTGTGGGACTGAATTCCCCCCAGCAAAAGCTGTAAAAGACGAAGCTTTCTACAGGTGGAACTGATTCATGTCCTGTACGAAAGACTTCTCTGTGTGAACTGAACTAGAGGTCCCCCTTTCCCCTCCTAAACCCAGAAAAGGGGGCGGAACTAAAGAACCTAATGATGATTGATGGGTCATTGGCCCTATAATTGCAAACCAAGGGAAGCCACCTTATTGCAAAATGCATGGAACCTTGGAATACATGCAAACACTCAAAGAAAGAAAAAGAAGTTAGAGCTCCTGGTACAGCCGTACAAAAACAACGGCCTAAGATATTAATAATAATCATAACAACAATTTTATTTCTTACCCACCTCTCCTTGTGACGCAAGGCAGGTTACAACATAGTTGTACTTAAGTGTTCAGGGCAGATTATATGGAAGAAGGCGATCCTGTAGGTAACCTGGCCCCAAACCATGTAGGATTTTAAAGGTCAAAACCAACACCCTGTTCTTTGTCCGGAAACTAACTGGTAGCCAATGGAGTGATGTTAGGATAGGTGAAATATGCTCACTCCTAGATTTTCCCATAACCAATCTGGCTGCTGTATTTTAAACCAGCTGGAGGTTCTGAACTTGGTACAAAGGTAGCCCAACGTAAGCTGCATTGCAGAAGTCCAACCTTGAGTTTACCAGTGCATGCTCTACTATCTTTAGGTCCTCCAAATCTAGGAAGGGGTGCAGCTGGCATATCAGCCGACCGTTGCATCTACCTGGGCTGAAATTTGGAGGAACAGATCCAGAAGCCCTTGTCCTGAGCTGCAAACACAGTCTTTCAGGGGGAGTGTAGCCCCATTCAGGACTGGCTGAAACACCTCCACCCCCAAGTTAGGACTCTTAATGTCAAGCACCTCAGTTTTGTCTGGATTCGGTTTCATATTGGTGTGGCTCAGTTATAAGACCATGTAACATGATTTTTATTCCTGGATTATAAATGTCATTTCCTAATTGGTTCTAACATAAAAACATGGAAAAAATATTAAAGTGCAAAAACTTTGTTTTTGCAGGACATCCTGCAGCACATTTTGCTATAGCGTTTCAATGACCATCCCACAGAGTCTCTACCAATTTAACCTAGTTTGTGGCAGCCACAAAAATGAAGTTTCTGGAGTATAACAACTACTTTCAAAGTAAGTATCACACAATTAAACAGAAAATGATACTTTGAAACCAGGAACAGATTTTGTTTTTCAAATTTTGTTATCTAGTGTAATATGAGATAACCTCTTTATCTGTACTCATTCTATTGATTTCTCTGTGCTACTTCAATTTCCCATAACATTGGTGCCATATAAACGTGAATTGAGGAGTGCACCCCCCCCCCCCGGGTGGCACAGTAGGTTAAACCCTTGTGCCAGCAGGACTGAAGACCAACAGGTCAGAGGTTCAAATTGGGGAGAGTGCGGATGAGCTCCCTCTGTCAGCTCCAGCTCCCCATGCGGGGACATGAGAGAAGCCTCCCACAAGGATGGGAAAACATCAAAATATCTGGGTGTCCCCTGGGCAACGTCCTTGCAGAGGGCCAATTCTCTCACACCAGAAGTGACTTGCAGTTTCTCAAGTCACTCCTGACAAACACACAAAATAACAACAACATGAATTTCTTCTAAAACATCCTACTCTTTTGGTGGAAAATAATGCCTATAGTATACTTTATTATCCTAGTGTCTCCTCCCACTGCCTTGGAAATTTAGCAAATATTGAATTTATTCTGCTAGAATGCAAAAGAAACACCACACAATTGATATTTTGTGAAATATATTTGGGCAGCCAATTTGAAATACCAATATGTCAATTTTTACCCAGTCCAACAGCCTAAGCTCTAAAGTTGCTAAAGTAGAATTAAAATCATAACATAACATTGAAAATTCTGTTAATTGGTTCCACTTAGGCTGTACATACACTGCCATACAATGCAGTTTGAAACTACATTATATGGTTAATGAAGACCAGCAGTTCTCAGCCTTTCTAACGCCATGAACCCTTAACAAATTTCCTCATGTTGTGGTGACCCCCAACCATAAAATTATTTTTCTTGCTACTTCATAACTTTAATTTTGATACTGTTATGAATCTTAATGTAAATATCCGATATGCAGGATGTACTTTCATTCACTGGACCAAATTTGGCACAAATACCCGACACGCCCAAATTTGAATACGGGTGGAGGGGGGGGGGGGGTTGTTGATTTTGTCATTTGGGAGTTGTAGTTGCTGGAATTTATAGTTCATCTACAATCAAAGAGGATTCTGAACTCCGCCAATGATGGAATTGAACCAATCTTGGCACACAGAACTCCCATGACCAAGAGAAAATACTGGAAGGGTTTGGTGACCTTGAGTTTTGGAGTTGTAGTTCGCCTACATTCAGACAGCACTGTGGACTCCAACAATGATGGATCTGAACTAAACTTGGCATGGACATTCAGTATGCCCAAATGTGAACCCTACTGGAGTTTGGAGAAAATAGACCTTGACATTTGGGAGTTGTAGTTGCTGGGATTTATAGTTCATTTACAATCAAAGAGCATTCTGAACCCCACCAATGATAGAAGTGGGCCAAACTTCGCACACAGAACCCCCCTGACCAACAGAAAATACTGTGTTTTCTGATGGTCTTTGGTGACACCTATGACTCCCCCTCGTGCCCCCCCCCCCAGGGTCCTAACTCCCAGATTGAGAAATGCTCGTGTAGACTGAACTGCATTTTATGAGTCTTTGCCAGGCGTGGGCAAACTTCAGTCCTCCAGGTGTTTTGGGCTTCAATTTCAACAATTCCTAGCAGCTGGAATTGGAGTTGAATCCAAAACACCTGAAGAGCTGAAGATTGCCCTTGCCTGGTCTATGCAGTTTCAAACTGCATTACATTGCAGTGCAAATCCAGCATTTAGAACTTATTGTTGAATGATAAATCAACTTGTAGGCAAATCTAGAGGAATCAATAACTGCATTCTCCTTGAGGATCACAAAAATATAAAACACAATGTTATACCTTTTTAGAAAAAAAGTAAAATACAAAATAAATTCCAAAGTAAACAAAGCTAATAGCTGCTCTCTAAGATTTAAAAATCAGGGCAAAATGTTGAAAATCTGCAGTCTTCTGCCTATAAATTGATTACGGTTCTGTTGCATGCAAACATGTACTTGCTTTCAATGGAAAACTACAAAAGCTAGGTCCTGCTTCTGAAATGAATGTTTATTATTATCATAGTCTCCCTTCTTCAGAGACCTTTCTTAATTATTTTCCAGTAGACATGGTTACAAAATTAAACTGGAAATATCAATTGTATACATAGCTGTTACTTACTTACCAAGGGCTTGGAAGGAGGCAAAGAAACTTCTGTGTTGGGAGTCAAGAGGAACTATATGTCTTCTTACTGGAGCAGCTCAATCTTTTGTTAGCTTTCCAAGTTTGGTGATTGGCTGCTGATGAATAAGGAAGAAGATATAGAGGTCAAAGTCATTCAACCTGATAACTAACTGTTTAAAAAGGGCTTTTGTACATCTCGTTATTGTGCAATTAAAAGAGTCAACTGTTATTCATGTCTCTAATTTCCTTTGAATTAATGACTTTTGTAGGAACCAAGAACAGGGAGTCCTGTCTCAGGCAATCCTTCCCGGGGAAGTTTCATTGGAAACTAGAGTCACTCCAAGGAGAGAATAATGCAATTTTCCTGAAAGTAAACCCAACGGCTCTTGGAAGAATTTACATCTGAGTCAACAAAGGGCTTCGAATTGCTCTGGCTAATGTTTACCATCTAAGCGCAATATTATGAGAAGGACTGCAATCTTACCAGGGAGAATGTGTCACAGTTTTTTCCTTCCTCAAGAAAAAGAAATTACTTTCAAAAGGGATCACAGTTACATATGAGAATATTCCTGTATTACAAAAGCAGGAAAAATAAAACGAAAGGAAGGGAAATAACCATGTTAGTCGTACATTTCTATACATGCTGACCAAATGTAAGTCCTGGGTTGTTGTAGGTTTTTCAAGCTATATGGCCATGTTCTAGAACAGCGTTTCTCAATTTGGGGGTCGGGACCCCAGGGGGGTCACGAGGGGGTGTTAAAGGGGTTGCCAAAGACCATTAGACAAACACAGTATTTTCTGTTGGTTATGGGGGTTCTGTGTGGGAAGGTTGGCCTAATTCTGTCTTTGATGTGGTTCAGAATGTTCTTTGATTGTAGGTGAACTATCAATCCCGACAACTACAACCCCCAAATGTCAAGGGCTATTTTCCCCAAACTCCACCAGTGTCCACATTTGGGCATATTGAGTATCCATGCCAAGTTTGGTCCTGATCCATCCTAGCTTGACACTCTGGATGTAGGTGAACTACAACTCCCAAAATCAAGGTCAATGCCCACCAAACTCTTCCAGTATTTTCTGTTGGTCATGGGAGTTCTGAGTACCAAGTTTGGTTCAATTCCATCACTGGTGGAGTTCAGAATGCTCTTTGATTGTAGGTGAACTATCAATCCCAACAACTACAACCCCCAAATGTCAAGGTCTATTTTTCCCAAACTCCACCAGTGTCCACATTTGGGTATATTGAGTATCCATGCCAAGTTTGGTCCAGATCCATCCTAGCTTGACACTCTGGATGTAGGTGAACTACAACTCCCAAAATCAAGGTCAATGCCCACCAAACCCTTCCAGTATTTTCTGTTGGTCATGGGAGTTCTGTGTGCCAAGTTTGGTTCAATTCCATCATTGGTGGAGTTCAGAATGCTCTTTGATTGTAGGTAAACTATAAATCCAAGCAGTTACATCTCCCAAATGACAAAATCAACCCCCCAGCTCAAAAAACCCCCCCAAAACCTCACCAGTAGTCAAATGTGGGCATATTGGGTATTTGTGCCAAATTTGGTCCAGTAAATTGAAATACATCCTGCATATCAGATATTTAGATTACGATTTATAACAGTAGCAAATTTACAGTTATGA